ATATAGAGACAGCTTTGCAGAAGGAACGCCAGGAGAGGTGAGCAACTATCAACTTAGCTGGGGAAAGAAGAGGAAGTGAGAAAGAAGCTCAGGAAACGCCTGACTTGATGTTATTGGCTCAAGAGGGGCACAGAGAAACTCTGTCAGGCGGTCAGATTTCAGATTTTACCCTTCTTAGTTTTTCTTTTTTTTTAATATGGTACAGAACACAGACCCAAAGACTGCCCTTGTTTTTCCTACACAAAACTGTTTTATCGTGCTAAATGAAACTCCTATCTTATTCTCCTATCTTGCTAATGCTATGAGTTGCCCACCAGGTCTATTATTTAATCTATCCATTTCAATCTCTGTGTTGTATTTCTATGTTAGCACTATGTTTTCTTCTCTGAACTATTCCGTAGCTCCATGTTTCTCAACCTTGGCAACTTGTTAAAGTTGGCCAGTCTCCTTTCCCAAACATCCTTTCCACTCCTTTAGAGACTTGCAAATGGGTTTTTCTCTCCCCCCCACCCCGCCCCGCACTCCCAGTCCTCTGTTTCTGGAGCTGGTTTGGGGAGCTCTGCACTTGCACTGTGCCATCGCGGGCTTCGTTCAGTTTGCAAGTTTTTGCAGGTTTGCAGACTCTAGTCAGGTTCCTTTCCTCCCCATCTCTCAGCGCTCTTGCAGGTCCCAGAACTGAGAGTTTCTCCTGCTGTCAGAAGACTAGCGCGGGTTAGAGTTTCTCTTTCCCGCCGTCTTCCTGGCATAACTCCTTTCTTTGACGTGTCCATGCGCAGGCTTGCTTTCAGCTCCCTTTTTATAAAACGAACTCTCCCACAAAGGAGAGGAGGGGGCTGCTTTAACCCCCTTTTCCAGGGAGTACCAAAACCCTAGATCCCAGGAAGAAAAACGGGCTGCTCACTCCAGGTGGTGAGTTCGCTCTTCCACAAGCCTAGTGCAATAAATGATTCTGCCCTAGTGCAAAAATAAAAGTGAAGTTCCAGGAGTTCTCGCTCCCTAAGCTGGCCTACGTCAAAGGCATCCCCAACAGATCACCATCCAGTCTTGCTTGAAACAGCTGCAGAAAGAGAGTCCGACCCCTGTTGAGCTCTCTGTTCCACCCCTGAAGAGCTGTTGTGTCAGGAAAGTCCTCCGATGCAGAACCACGAAATATGAGGCTTGCGAGGGACCCTGGAGGTCGTCCAGTCCCACCACCGGTCCAGGGCCGGTAGAGACTGTCACGACATCCCCGAGAGAGGGCCGGCCGGCCAGCCCCTATTTCGGGGACGGCGAACATGCGACACGCGTGTCAAGGGTGACACGCCACAATGTTTTGGGGGATGTGCCAGCGTTCACCAACCCCTGACAAGAACTATCTACCGGGGTTACCACAGAAACTGAGTTTGTTTTACTCGTATTTCGTTTTGGTAATTATTTGACGCCTCTTTCTATAAGACAAAGCGCCAGATTTTATAAAAATGCGTGAATATGGAAAGAATTGTTTCTCTGTTGTTCCGGGGGAAGGTGTGACACTCCAGCAGAGTCAAGATAGGCATTTTCTGAATTTTTGACACGCCGAGCCCAAAAGCTTCGCCTTCCCTGGTCTATTTAAATACTTCCAAAGGAGATGCCACCAGCTTGTGGCTGAACTTATAAATCTGTTCCTGAATCCCACCAGCATAGGCACTACTGAAATTTAAAACCTGACTCCATCCGCTCCGATTCACACAGACCCCGTGCCCTTTTTTCACCGCTTAACCTCTTTCCCCTGGCTGCATAAACAGGGGGGTGATTCTGGCCACGAAGGGGTACCAGGAAGAGGATCCCTCGATCAGAGTTT